CGTTCCGAATAATCGATTAATCGTTTCATTAATCGATAGATTAATCGATTATCAAATTAGTCGTTTGTTGCAGCCCTACTCCTAGCACATTTGTCTCCTGGGTAATCAGTCTTTCTGTGAAAAACAATGTTTCTTTCATTTATCCACTTCCTCTGTGGCCTTGTTAGGTAATCTGATAATCAGCACTGAGTGACTGAACTGTCAGTGGACCGTGAAAACGGAATAATTGTATCTCAATTGTCACTGTTGACTTGAATGTCATGCATACATTACACTAGCTGTGTGTGTGTGTGTGTGTCTGTGTGTGTGTGTGTGTGTGTGTGTGTGTGTGTGTGTGTGTGTGTGTGTGTGTGTGTGTGTGTGCAGATTTACTGATATATGAAGTCATTATATTATTTGAGAATGGGTGAACACTTGTTGAGAAATGTGTTTTAATGGCTGCATTTATACCCTGATTTTATTTAGATAACGTTACGCTGTCGAGAAAATCATGTTTGTGCACATTTGGATCACCAGTAATATTATGTGAATCTTTTCTATCATAGTGTCTGTATCGTGCCTCTGTATTTAGTGTTGTAAACAGTTGCTAATAATCTTACTTTTATCAGCAATACTGTGTTCCTGTGTTATATAATTATCCTTATTTGTTCAAAGGGTTGATTATCTTTTGTTCAAAAGTAATATTTGAAAAATTATCAGCAACCTATTATGTTCTACTTTTAGAAATTATATTTCCAGATTAAGATAGTTTGCTTTTGAGATATTCAGATATAATTCTCAAATGCTTAAAATCTCGCCAATAGAATTACATAATGTACATGGCTAAAAACAACTGAGAACAACAATAATTTGTTTTATTTAGGTTAACTATGGCTAACTGTTATTCTCTTCAGTGTACATAATTCGATATGATAATTACAGTATACCGGTTATACAAATTTAAAAGGATTCACATGGTCCAATTTTTCTTTAAAGATATAAGAATATAATCAAATATAGGCAGTTTTCTTCCCCAGAGATGTCTAATGTACATCGGCATTCCTACAGTTAATTAAGATGTGACTTAATCCTGTTGAAAAGTTCAGGTTTATAGTGAGAGACATCCAAAGAGCCAGTGGCTTAGCGATGTCAGCTCATTAGAGAAAACTCTGCTCACAGGTATTCTAACAGAAAGCCATTTTCTCTCCGTGCTTGAACCTTCTCAGGCGATGTAGTCAGCGACTGTGACACAATATAAGCTTCCCCGTCACATTTGGCTACAGTGCAGTACCCAATTTGTGGAAGAGAAGCATCACAAATACATGGAACATATTGGAGGACTTTACGCAAAATAGGAACAAAATGAAAACACCAAATAGGAACTCTGTATATTACAATTGGAAAATCTGGCAACAGCACACTTAATCTTGTGCATATTTTTACAATATAATTTTCACAATATGGAGATGTGCGTTTGACTGACCTTCTACATCTAACTTGTGGAGACATTTAACATCAAAGAATCACTAAGCCCTGTCATTACTGTGTGATTTTTACACTTCTTTAAGCATTTAATAGTTTTGTTATGAATTTTTACTGAGATCTTGTCTCCTTGCCAGGCATTACCGTCCTGCTCTCCCTGACTGTCTTTATGCTGCTGGTTGCAGAGATTATGCCCGCCACATCGGACTCCGTGCCTTTAATAGGTAAGCCAGGCGCCATGGTTGTCATCTGCTGTCAATGGGAAGACACTGGTGAAAATGTGTGTAGTTATTTTTCATCAGAAGTTCTCCCAATGTCACAGTATAAGTACGTTTAAGCAGCCAACCAACACATGGATTTTTTCTATTTAGAGATCAGAGGCACCATATTTAAAACATTGAAATGCAAATTTGTTTAGTTTCTCTGACACATCAAAAAGTGTGCTCGAGGCAAGATGGGAGTTTTTCTCTCTGTGAGCCCTTTAACTCATACTGAAAAATATTTTTATCCTGCTTATTTTTTCACATAATGTTACCTGCATATGCATGACACAAGTTTCTGTATCAATTCTAACTGTCTCCTCTTTTTCTCTTTCCCCCAGCTCAGTATTTTGCCACCACCATGGTCATTGTTGGTCTATCTGTAATTGCTACAGTTATTGTGTTACAATATCACCACCATGACCCTGATGGAGCCAAGATGCCAAAGTGGGTGAGTGTCGTTTCATATAACACAATTATCTGTCACCTATACTACCCCATTAACAACACTTTAGTCATTTCCATCGAGCCACACCCCAAAACTCTAGAGCGCATTATGATAAACTATCGAGATTAGCTTTGATTATGCTGCTTTAGTTTTTTATTAGGTTAAAGTCCACTTACAGTGGTTCATTAGGAATATTCATTTGCTTGAGTAGGACAGTGTAAACCAAATGGTATTTTTAACATGAAATGTGCTGAGAGGTGTTTAGGTGTTCAAATATGCTAAAGTGTGTTATTATGAAAGTATGAAAACATAAACACAAATCTTCACAAATAGCGTTTTTAAAAATGGTTTCCTATCAATGAACGATACAACACAAACATGTGCTATTTAAACTTTATACTACCAGACATTTGAAGTTGTGTACAGTACGTGACACCAATCAAAAAAACTGTTATTTTCTGGGGAAATGATATAATCACTGTTTCATTGTGATTGGACTGATTGGGAAAGGTTTTGGTTTTATCTGAATCACCTCTGTGAAATGAAGAGCTGATTAGGCTTCTGTGATAGTGAACGTGTGTGTTCCCACAAAGAAATATACATGTAGAAGGAAAGATGAAGACAGACTTGTATGTTCTTTGGTGCATGTATCCTTAATTTATCAAAGTTATCAAGAACCATTTTAAATGAATTTTCATTACTGTTTCATCCCAAAGACCCGTGTAATTCTGCTGAACTGGTGTGCCTGGTTCCTACGCATGAAGCGCCCGGGTGAAGAGCGGGTACGTTCAGCCTGTCACAACAAGGCTCCACGTAGCAGCCTGACCAGCATGGAGCTCAATGCTAGCACTTCCCAGTCCAATAATGGCAACTTGCTCTGTGTTGGCGTCCGTGGCCTGGAAAGCCTCCACTACTCTACAGTTGCAACCTCTGCTGAATCTGGAGTCCTCTGCGGGCGGCTGGTTGGCCGAGCTGGTGAGGAGGATATTCTCCTCCCCGCAGGTCGGGGCCCGTCTGCAGGCTGCCTGGAACCAGAGATGGCTAAGATCCTGGATGAAGTGCGCTACATTGCCAAACGCTTCCGTAACCAAGACGAGGACGAGTCTGTGGGGAACGAATGGAAATTTGCTGCGGCTGTTATCGACAGGCTTTGTCTCATGGCGTTCTCTCTGTTCACTATCCTCTGCACCATTGGAATTCTCATGTCAGCACCCAACTTTGTAGAGGCCATTTCCAAAGATTTTTTCAATTAAGGGCTTTATCAAAAAAAGCCTAAACCAATCTCCCTCATCACAGATTGACATTTTTAAACTCATTGGGCAGGATTTGGATAAGTGAAAGCTAATTGGGACTTGTATTTAACCAAATATTAAACAAAAATTAAAGTCAAAATGTCAAAGTTAAAAGTACAGGTGGGGTAGGTAAGTTTGAGAAACTATCTCGAGATACACTTTTTGTTATATTCCATGGAATGCTCTTAACATCCCGATAGCAATGAATATCTTAAGTGCTTTGACAACAAATCCATAAAAAAATTTCATCTGTGGAAGCCGTAGTACTGTAAAAAGCACGACCAATCATTTTAGCCAGCCCAGCTAAAATAACTGGATGGCCTACCTGTCTGTCAGCCTTCCATCTGGGCACAAACTTATCTCGGGCCCTCATTGGTCATTTCTTCCGGGCTGTGTATTTTCAAATTCTAGCGCACTCGAGCTGGTTTCCCCAAAATTAACTACCCCACCTTTAAGGATTTAAGGCAAAGTGTATGTACTGTATGGCATAAAAACTATTTACGGCTTGACTTTTATATTACACAGTCAAATGGCATATTAAAGGAAAATATCTACATTTAACACCCTTGTACTGTTTTAACATGAAGATACTACGCATTGTTTAACTGGTGTAATTTGCTAATAAACCTACAACGAATGCTATTGTTTTGTGTTATGTAATGTTGCCTGTGTACTATTGTTCTTTACAATGCATCTAATCTCACTAAAATCTACTCTGTGTACTAAACAGAACATCTACAGTACCTCTATATATCTTGTATTGAAATATATTTGTTGCATCATATGAGTACTTGTATATGCAAAACAGTTATGTGTTGTAAGTTGGATTTCTATTAATACAAGTTATATTGTCATAAGCATAACCTTCCTTGTCTCACTTAATGCGTGTTGCATATTTTTATTATAACATTCTTAGAAAAATAAATTATCACTGCCAAGTCTGCTTTTTCATGTTATGTCAAATCTAGGATTTTTGCACTGTGAAGTTTAACACATAAATGTATTTTTTCTATTTGAAGATAGGGACCACATATAAAAAAGGTATTTATTGCTGTGCAGATGTTACCTACTTTCCAACCATAGACGTAGGGTCCGTGACGTCACCCATAGGATTCTGCAGAGTTGCCGAGAAGCCCTTAGTAGGCGGAGTCGGCCACTAACGGCTCGACAGTGACGTCAGAGTTCAACTCCCGCCTTCTCCAGCCTGCTCCAAATAAGGGCAAAGAGGCGGAGCCGAGGCGGGACCTGCTGCCACCGAGCTGAAAGTTCCAGAGCTAGCTGAAGCTACCAAGCTAACCATCTGCACACTGCCGTGGCATTTTACGTTTCTAAGGTAAGCGGACATGAAACTATTCAGCAAAACTATAAATAATAATCTAAGTTATTGAGTTTTTAGCATAATATTTCAGAATTTCAAATCCCTTAACTTTTGTATGCAATTGTGCTAAATTCCAACACTGGCATCAAGCAATAGGAATATGTTTGCTGACATTAGTTATTTATATTTTGATATCACTTAATTTTCGTTTATACATTTGTCGCGCGTGCACATGCATATAGTAGCTATAGTGCCTCTTTGTAAACTGTGTTCGTTATTCTCCACATGCCCATGCACCGTCAGGAGAGAAGCTTTAAAAGGAGACTAAATGGAGTCTCAGTGCACATCTACAACATTCGGGTCGCAGTTTAATTAAAAAAGGGCGGGTTGTTCACTAGCATGATTTATTGTTCAGTCAGACCAACAGCTGTGATCCGCTCCCTTGTTAGGAAGAAAGAGGCGATCCCGTCCGGTGCTGTTATATATCCCTCTGCTGGCTTCCTCCGCCGCCAGCCCGGCTTCGCCTCGTCTCCCAATGTCCGTTGTTGCATTTTAAACAGACCGGATTGTTCTTTTCACATTCAATATATGCTTAACACGCCCTTTTCTCCCTCATATTTCTTTCATCACCTTTTCATGTACACATATACAAAACGCTGTAATCAATACTCTAAAAAAACGTTCTCGCTCGTTGTGGTTTTCCCGGTCATATCCGGATGTTGGTCACATGCTACTCGTCGTCTGTAAACACATAAATGTATTCCAAATAAAACTGTGCCATCATTTAATATTCAGCATGGTAGTATCTCGGCATCTATAGTGTGCTAGTGTTAAATCAGTAGGCTTCGGTCTTGCACCACTCCATAATCATTTCCGCGTACTAATTCACCTACCACGATCTTCTGAAATTGGTAAATTTTACCACGATCTAACTGCCAAACCGGCAGATGAAAGAGTGTTCAGAATAAGCTTAACAGCTGGTGTTGCACAAGAATTTCCTGGTTTTTTCAGTGTAAACCTGCATTAAAACTGACCGGCATGTCATTAAACTACCATTTCCCAATTAGAAACATTGATTTTAATTCTAACATCTTACCTGTGAGGCCTCCTCCAAACAGCAGTGAATAACCAGACTGTAGCATTTAAAACTAAGTACGAGTTCTCTAGATCCTTCTTGACTTTAGGACAAACACAATTCACAAAGACAACATGTATTAAAGACAAAATCTCTTATTTGAATGTGCTCTCTTAACCTGATAAATTCAGTTATACGTAATAGTATGCGACAATCTAGACAGAGAGAATGAGCAGAAGTTTGCTCGCGCGTTGTCCTAGTTGTCTGAGAAGCAGGAGGGTTTTTCAAGTGTGTAGGATGAGCCTCCCCTCAGAGAACATAAGAACAGCCGCGCCCCCCCCTCTCCATTATTATTGCTGTTATTATTATTATTATTATTGTTGTTGGTTCGCTGCTGACTACAGCATCCAAGAGCAACGCGATCTCACAACCTGCAATTCTGTCATAAGAGGCTTACCACAGATAAGCACAGAAGCATCGTAATTAAAGTGCTCTGTTTTCGCTGTCTACCGTCACTGATACCACAACCGCCATTTGCACTTAAGCTACCTACGCACCCAGAGCACTAGAGTCTCCTCTCGACTCTAATGTCGTCCAGCTACTCCTGGGGTGGTTTGTTTGAGATCTATCGTGCTGACTGCACCGAGTTTGTGGAATTGGCTGGAGTACGTCATCCTTAAAACATTAAACAATAACTTTTAAACATTTTTATTTTTATGTTTTAAACATATTGTATAAAATCCCCACTACTTGGTATTCTTGCACCCTCTAAGAATAAGCCTGCAACTGGTCTCACTTTGATCGTAGTGACTTGTTTATAACAAGATCGCAAGGACACTGGGAAGCGAATCGGCGCACACAGACCTCAAAGCATTCCGGAGTGTTTTTAGTTTGTGTGCCTATCCGATGTTCGCCAGGCGTGCTCACCACGTGCATGAAAAATATACCACACACCAAATTACAATTGCATGTTCCAAACACTATCCACAGTACACACACACGACACATGCACAACTGGAAGTTAATACAGTTGTTAGAAGTTGGAAACACACAGGTGCGCCCTCGTGGACACAGGCCGTTCTTTCCTTGCAATGTCAGCCGCCGACACCCTTCTTACAGAAGGACAGGCACATCTAGCCTGCAGCAACGACCGCGTGATATTTCCGCACGCAGTGTTGCTCAAGACATAGTTTTCTTTTAACCTATTTATGCATCCACATGGTTGTAATAATCCTGTACAACTGCATTCCCGGTAACACACTGAACGTCAACTTTGCCTCCCTTACTTGAACACCACCCCTACTGTTAGTGGGAACAATGAGTCTGCGTCTTTGATGCACAGAGGAATAAACCGCAGAGTCATACTCTGGCGTGCAGCCTTTTAACCGTACTTGCTTTTGATCAAGGAGTCAATGCGGAAAACCTGCTCACACGGTAGGTGGAGGTGAAGGGAATGAGCCCTCTCTAAAGCCTTTTTGGCGAGGTGCGTGGGAACTCGGCTCTCCACAGACAGCCACGAAGTGGGCAAGTGTGCCACTTTACTCGTCTTTTTCTTGTTCGTTTTGTGTCTCACGCTGCCGCCTCCCCGCAAGCTCTCTGGTCGCCCCCAGGGAGGCGCGCCTCACCAACTTTGAAAGACGGCGTGGTCCTAAAGCATTTGTTGATTTTCTTTTCAGCCCTCTTCGAGGAACCCGCAGTGCGCGTCGTAACAACGGGAGTAAACTCTTCGGTTCCTTCGCCGAAAAACCAACTGCAAATCCCATTAGGATTTTTGGCGAGAAAATAGCCGTCCGAAAGTAAGTCTGTGGGGTTGACCCACCAAGTATTAAGAGGAGGGGTCACGTGTTCTGTTGCAGCGGGATAATCTCCACATGTCAACCCCTACTTTTAGAATTTCTTGAATCATAAATCTAGTCCCAAACGCGAAAGTGCTAGACGTTCNTAATCGATTAAAATCGATTACCAAATTAGTTGGCAACTAATTCAGTCGTCTTGGAGCTTAACGGGGTGTAGAACACATGTGATGACGTCACCAACGAATCGACGACTGAATTAGTTGCCAACTAATTTGGTAATCGATTTTAATCGATTAAGTCGATTAGTTGTTGCACCCCTAGCTAGGAGAAACAATTATTGTAGATGGAGAATAATTTGAGGTAAAAGAAAAGTTGTCTCTGTGTCGAACAGTATGGGGCTGTAAAAGATTGAATTAGTTTATGATTTTGTAAGTTTTAACCTGTATAATTTGAACTGCATTAAACCACAGGCAAGTCAACATGGCATGAAGCAGTGCAGCCTTTAAACATTTAATATGAAAATCAAAACTATGGCAGCGTTCATGGTTGAAAGGGTTGTGTTGTTACTGTAAGGGCCTGCAAAAAAAGTTAACAAGAAATGGTCTAAACAGCTTGAGAGTTTGAAACTGTGGGAAAAGGAAGCTTAAAATTGATGGTGCAAGTGAAAAGATTATAAAAATGACTCCTCAAGGCCTGATTGAAAAGGTGACAGGCTCAACTTATTACACATCGCCATTTTATAGGGTTGTTGCAGATTTTGAGAAAAAATGGTCTCAAGATGGCTTTTTTGAAAAATCTGACATAGCAATGTTGAAAGACCTCATTGATCAGCCTCGCCCGTTTGCCCCCCCTGATTGGGATTTTGAGTACATGACACAGTGCCTTGGGGTCTGGAGCCCCATGGGTCAAAAGGTCAGCCACACAAATCAGATGATTCATAGCCGGCCAAAAACTAAATGAAGGGGGGGATAATGTACACAAAGCTGAAACTGCTGCGAATAA